GGGGCCCCCCTGCCACTCGCCTCTTCCCTCCCCATACGGGCGGCTGAGGGGAGCAGGGATGTGGGGACTGTCCAGCTGGTGGCCGTGGCGCTGGCTGCGGGAAGCCGGTGCTGTCCCAGCGTGTCCCCATTTGCAGTGGGGCCCGCAGAGGCTGGCAGGGGCCGGGGCTGTGATGCCTTGCTGGCAGCACGCTCTCACCCCATCCCCTCCGCCCCACCGAACGCGATGCCCTAGAAAAGCCACCGCTTCCCTTTCATCTTCCTATCCCACCAGTCAAGGTTTGCTTTCTTTATCTATTTCTCTCATCCCTTCCCCCCCATCCCGATGAGTCATAGCTGCAGCAGCGTGGAAAAGATGTCACCGGCACTTCGGTTTCCCACCTCGCCACCTCCTTCCCCTCCTCCTCCAGCCCTCGGCCCGCTGCAGCGGGTGCCTGACAGATCTGGGCAACGCGTTGCATAATGCTCACGCACCCTGCGTGGTCCCTGCATGGTCCCCGCGTGGTCCCCGCACCCACAGAGCCAGCGAGCCCTTTCCCCTGCACCCTGTGGGGTGGCACTTTGCAGCATCCAGGTCCAGCCCGGAGCTGGGACCGAGGCCTTTGGGGGTGTTTAAGCGCCAATGGGTTTTGGGAGATGCCCTGGGCTGTGCCGCCCCGAGGATGCAGTAACCTCGCTGTGCCCCCCCAGCTCCTCCGAGCAGCTTTCACTTGGGATCGTGCAAAAAATGCCGTCGCGGAGCCTCGGCTGCCCCGGGTGCTTCAGGCCGCCGTGCTGTTGGTTTTTACCAGGGCATGGCTGCGGCATGTGCGTGCCGAGCGGTGGGTTGCAAATTGCCTGTGGGGTTGCTGTCGATGGTGAGTCCCTCCCCTGCGGTGGTGCAGCAACTCGGGAGAAGCTTTCCCGGCCGCCTCCGTGATGGAGAGCCGGTCGGATGCACCTGATGTAGCGGGGCCAAGCCGCAGTGGTGGAGGGGAAAGGGGGCTCTGGCCCTTGGGTGGGTGAAGCTTTCCATTTGCAGCTCCTTGCTTGCGAGCCGCGTGCATCCGAAGTTCTGAGCCAAGGGGTATAAACACTCTCCTGCTGGCCCCGTGACAGCTTCAGGGCCGAGCGAGGCATCGCCTGCCCCAGCACCTCTGCCTGCAGCGTGGCCGTGCTGGCGGGAGGTGACGCTGTGCAGAGGGCTTTTTATTTTAAAGGAGGTTTAAAAGACTCTCCCGGGTGCTCCTGGCCGGGCAGTGGGTCCCTGTCCCCTCCCAGGTCCTGGACAGTGTTCAACAGGAGCCTGGGTGTAGCTCGGTTGCCGCTTCTGGGCTCGCAGCGAGGTTGGAGCAGCGTGGTGGGCACCGCTTGGTGTCACTGGTGCCGCTCGCTGCTTCTCCAGGCTCTCCCCGCTGCCACCCTTGCTGCAGTGCCTGCAGGGACCTCGTCCTGCAGAGCTGGGAGGTTGTGGGCGGGTGATGGGAGCGACACCAGGAGCACCCTGGGACCTTCCCGGCTCCAGCCCACCGCGGCGCCAGGGAGAGCCTCGTCCTGGCTCCCCAGGGCTTGGGGGGGGCTGCGTTCAGCGGGGAGACCCACCTCATGCCCATCCTCTGCCCTTCCTCCGCAGGTACAAGGGCTTTATCAAGGACTGCCCCAGCGGCCAGCTCGATGCCGCCGGCTTTCAGAAGATCTATAAGCAGTTCTTCCCCTTCGGCGACCCAACCAAATTCGCCACCTTTGTTTTCAATGTCTTCGATGAGAACAAAGTAAGTCTGCGAGCTGGGGGCATGGCCGGGGGGGGTCGGGGCTGGGCCCGTGGCGATGGTGGGACGGGTTCAGTGACGCGGCTGTGCGGCGCTGGAGGAGCAAAATATCCCAGCGCTTCCTGGGGCATGAAATTAAAGCGGCGCAGCTGTAGCGAGCGAGCCCCCACGCTTATTTTAGTCGATGAGAGTCATGTGGGAAAAGGCGATGAAGTGGCAAGCGAGAGAGGAGAGATGCGATGTTTCGGTGCCACTGACAAAAGCCCACCCGCGCGGGGCCCCCCCTGCTCCGGAGTTGCCCCCGCCGGCATGCTCGCCGGTGGGCTGGACACAGGGGCCGGATCACACTGCTGGAGATAAATGTGCATCGCTCCTCCCTCCCCATTGCCTTTTCGGATGTGCCCCCTAAGAGCACCCGGCGTCGGGCATGCATGGGCAGGGAGGACATTGCGGGGCGGGGGTGGCAGCGGCACCCTCACCTCCTCCTTCCCTCCCCCAGGACGGGAGGATCGAGTTTTCGGAGTTCATCCAGGCGCTGTCGGTCACCTCCCGGGGGACACTGGATGAGAAGCTGAGGTGTAAGTGCTCCCCGCGGGATGCTGGTGGGCTCAGCCCCGCGAGGG